ATCAATTTTAAGAGGTTGTTTACCTTTCAATACACAAATTATTATTAAACCCAGCATATCCTCTGTTACATATTTACTCTTTTATAAAATTCTTTTCACGTCTCATATAATACAAAACTGTACTATACCCTATTCATAAATTTCTTTTAAATTTCGGATGGCAACATTTAATATGCACATGCATACTTCATGAAACGTATACATGATCCTTTTGCTCATTCAACATTTTGAAATTGCATTCCTTATTTCTTATACAATTTGAATTTTCATAAAATATTTAAAATAATAATAATAGAACAAGAGCATAACTATAAGTATAACATTTAGATTTATGACTAAAATGACCTTGGCCCAAATGTAAGAGTAGAATAAGAGAAAAATCAAGTGAAATCTCAAATAACTAAAAGTAGTATACAGTGCATTATTCTCTTTAATAAAGTGTACACATAATATAGAAAATCTCGGATAAGCGTTATGTTATAATTCACGCTCCACAACAAAATATGAACGATTTATTAGACATTCTTTGGTCTTATGGCATTTTGAAAGAGGGTAAAGTTCATTGTTTATGAAAATGTTCTTATAAAAATTTGATTTTGAAAACAAAAATGTTTTTTGTTTTTTTGTTTTGCTTATATGATTAAGTGAACAAAATTTCTTTTAAGTTGTTTTCCTTAAGAATAACATCAGATTAAAAAAAGTTATATAATGAATATACATTATACAGTTGTTTTTATTGACCATATTGTATATTTAGAATAAGGGAGGTATTTTAATGGAAAACAATTTCCCATATCAGTTTCGGTCTGACGCCGAGAAAAATTATGTTATCGGAATATCCTTTTATCGGTTTGGTTTGATGAGTAAATCATCGAATGATCAGTAAATTTTTGTACGAGTATTTGATCGTGCTGTTGAACCGGTTTTCAGGGATATTTATAAAGTTTGCTTTAAGGATATGAGAAAATCGACAAATTTTTACCCATATCAGCCCTTAACAACTTAGCCCTAATACATAAAATACCATATTTTTCTCGAAAATCAGGATCTCCAAGTTAGATAAATGTTTAAGAGGGCTAAATTCAAATTTTTTTGGATTTCACGCAATTTATGCAAGTAATGAACGGATTATTCAATTGAATTGCTGAATCCATTAAGTTAACCTCAATTAAGACCCAAATATACATATTAGACGGCATATTTCCTAGAAGCTTACCAGTTTTCTATAAAGTTTAAGTACGAATTTAAAATACAATTCGAAAATTTTATGTAAAACTCATTTGTATAAAAATAATAATAAAATTATTGAAATTTTTAAATATCTTTGAGAAAATTCACAATAGAATCGATTATGTGCTGACCACATCACATATTTATTTTTCATTTGTTTTTTGAATTCTATATCTTTAAGCTTTACTCGATACGATATACAATATTCAATGTGTTATATGGTTCTTATTTTCCTTATATTTTGAACTGGATGAACTTTGAAAAAATTGTATAGATTTCAATATATATGTATGTATTTTCATATACTTGAGATACACAGATTTTATTGAAAATAATATTATAATATGGAGTGGTTTCTGGAGTGCTTAAAATATAATATTAGAAAAATCTTTTAAGAAAATTATGATGAGAAAATTAAACTTTCATATATATATACGTAAATTGTATTTATGTATAAATATTAATGTTATATACGAGTATAATAAAATAAAATATTTTATGTGGTTTTATGAAATTTCATTAAAAACAAGAAAAAAAAAATGAATTTGTTTTTGCTCCAATGATCTGAATTTTATTTCTCCTTCATAATTTTTATATTATAAATAAAATTATTTTTATTATCTATTTCATAAAATATTTTAAAAATTTAATTAATTTGAATTTAAATATATATATAGAATATAGAATGTTAAATAAGAATCTTGATGAAATGATGTTTCAAGAACTATGGAATATTTGCTAAGAAATTAATCATTGTAAAAAATAATTAGAAAATAATTAAATTCTAATGTGTGGCTTATTGATAAAATGTGATTATTAATTGAATTTATTCTTCCTCTTATGGCTACAATCTTATGACTACAATCTCACAATATTACTGCAATTTATTTAACACATTATACTTTTAGCCTTTATTTTACTTCAATGCCTTACGCTTACTCTTTAAAATTTAATATAAAAATTTTCTTTTGTAATTTTAATGCAAGGAAAAATTCTTTATAGACGCATTTTTACTCTTAAACTATGAACACACAAACCAAACAATAAATATACGAAAATATTAAAAAGAGAAAACAATTCATGAACGCCAAAGAACATTGATAAATAAAATATATTCATAATCAGATAAAAGAGAGAGAACGAGAGAGAGAGAGAGAAATGCTTTTGTTTAAAAACAAAATATAATGATCAAGTTTCAGAGAAATTAAATTGAATATTGCAAATAACACGTGTACATACTAAACTAAATAAATTAACATAAATTGTATAATTTAATGTCTTCATATTTTATTCCGCTTGTTTATTTTATTTATGCTCTATTTGTTTCACCATCTTGTTTAAAAAATATTAAAGAAATAGAATTAGAGTAAAACTTTAAAGTAGCAATAATAATATTTGCTAAAATTAGAGAAAAAACTAAAGTTGTTTACTCTTTAATAATTCTCCTTAAAGAGAGTGTGAGAAAGCAACTTTGATTAAAATGCATAATAACTGTTGATTTTAAAGTCCGGAATGTCAAAGTAGATCGGGTACGAAAAAAAACAGTTAGTGTGAAATGCTTCTAAGGAGTCTAGGATGAAGACAAGTTGATAATATGAGTCAAAATTAATACGAATTCGTCAATTTATTTGTGAACATAAAGGAACTTCCTTAAATGCTAATGTAAGTAAGCATTTGGGAAATTGTAATGTAACGTCTATAAAGTAGATGTTCACAAATCACAATACAATAGAAATCGAAGAAATTAAGGATATATGCATTTTTCGAGCGATTACTGTAAAAATCTCAAATATGTTGGAAAACTTAATTAACGTTCTCGGTATAGTCTAAATCTCTAAAAATTTTCAATATCTTATACAAAATTCATTTCTTGTACAACTTTGGTTCAATTGAAATCAATTTGTCCAGGGAACATATGAAACTTTTTAAAATTCATATATAGCGTATAAGTATGTTCACTATACGGTAGAAATGGGATGAAATTAGAAAATATGCGTTTTTCGGGGGATCTTTGTAAAAATTTTCAATATGTTAGAAAATTCATTCCTTGTGTAAAATTGTTTCCAATTCTCATCAATTTTTTAAAGATAATAAGGAGATAATAAGGAACTGCATCAATGGCATAAGTAAGGTATTGGTACGTTCGCAGGAGAAATTCATATTAAATAAAATGCGCGTTTTTTGGGGGATCACAGTAAAAATTTTCAATATAAACAGAAAAAATCGAAATAGTGGTTCTTATAGCGCTTCTTATGTAGTACTCGTACTTTATAAAAAAATATGACAAGAATTCTAAAATTAAGTTGCCGCTTTCATGAGAATGGTTAAAATTTTCTCTTACATAATCCTTACTTGTTTACTGTTATCGTTTGGAAAAATTTAATTTTTTCTACTTCTCTGTTCTTGCTTTTCTTCTCATTTCTTTATTTTTTCTCATATAATATGCATAAAAACAACACGATGCAATTTATTTTTTCTTGCATACATGTTTGTTTCTGTTTATTTTTATAATAAATTCAATTTACATATAATATTAAATTGGAAAAGTAAATAAATAACTGTAATATAATATTCAAATAAGTTTAAACTAAATAAAATAAAAAAAAAACACCATCATTATACGAATGGAATAAAAAAAAACAAAAATTTTTTTTTTTAAGTAAAATTAATTATAATTGTGTTTCTATGGGAAAAAATTCAATTATAAAAAGTCATAACAATTTTTGCTTCCCCATCTGAAATCAGCAGGAATTTTTGTATATGGTGCAGTAAACGCGATTGAATTTATATTCATACTGTATGGGATACGAAAGCGATTATTTAAATTATACACTCTGTCATACACACACATACAATTTTTTATTAAAATAGCAAGAGCAAATAAAAAAATATTATGAAAATAGGAAAGGTTTCTTTTTTTAGAAAAACAGAAAAATGTAAATGAATGTATAAGTGAGAATTAATTTTATGACATTTGAAAGAAAATTGTATAACATGTAGATAAAATGATAAGAGATTTTCATTAGGAATGCAAATATTTTTCATAATGTCATAATGTGAATTCATGCAATTAAAGTTTTAAAACAAAATTGAATTAAAAAATATTTGCAATTCGCATATAAAGTTGGTTATTTGTTGAAATTTCGTATAATAAATTCCGTATAGAAGATTTACTAAAAATATATGTCAAATGTCAATTATTAAATAAAATGTCACTGTTGTCGTTTATGTCACTTTTGTCACTATGTGACATTTTTTTTCATTTAATTATAAATATTATAATCATTCACCGGAATAGGCCTTCCACATTATTATTTAATATTAAAGAAATATGACGTCTCCAGATTATTTGATTTATTCTCACGAACTTGAAATTTTGTTTTTATAAGACATCTGTTGTATATATGGTTTAGGAAATAAAACTGAAATTATTATGGGCGGTATTCTGGCAAAAATATCCGAAAAATACCATAAAATTGGACTAAATCGAATAGACAAGTTAAAATATAATCTATGCCGAAAATTGCGTCAAATTGCAATATATTCTTTTAAAATTTCAATAATCAAATGATTCGAATATTCAAATTTTACAGCTCAAATACTTAAGAACACAATAATTATAATAAAAAATTAGAATCAAACCAGCAAAAATTCTGAAATTTTCGCAGTCAATCATTCGATTCAATTAATTTCTTATTATATTCAATAATTTTTATTTATAATTTAATATATAAAATATATATATATATATATACGAAATAAATACTTACTTATAACGTTTCCGTATTTGTGGATAAACACTAGTTTGATATTGTCCTTCTAATACTGCTGAATCAAATCTTGGATGTAACCATGATTTTTCAGCAGCACGTTCAAATGCAACTGGTAACATAACACTACAACATGAATGTCGTCTACCAGTTTGACTTAAATATGATTGTATATGTGGTGCTAATGCTATCTGTATATCATCAGCTGAATTATTTCGACTATCATTTTCTAAGACTCCTGGTGGCATATTACTAAAACTAATCGATTCTCTCTGTGACTATAATATTAAAGAAAAAGAAAAAAAAGTAAAAATTAATAAAGTAATTATGAAAAATTTAAAAAAAAAATTATTTTTGTTTTGCGAATTTAATTTATGTAAAAAAATTTTCTAGATTAGACGTAAGCATTAAAAATTTTACAATTGTTTCTAAATTTTTTAAAAATTTAAAATTACCAGGCTATGAATATTTTATTGCTTTATAATTACTATTTTTGGATTATATAGAATTATTTAAATTTTTGTTTACCATTCATAACAAAGTTTAAATTATTCTACATTCTCAAGAGCTTAAATGTATAACAAATTTTACTCTATGGTTTCTAAAATTTAATATTCTTTTCCAAAATAACGAACTACGTATATTCCTAAACAAGAATAAATTATAAAATTACAAAATATTTTAATGATGTCACAACCATAAAAAAGCAAAATTGTGTCGACAATTGATTGGTATATGGGCAATTGGTATATGGGCAAAATATGAACGTAATGAAAACATTGCCAATATTTTAGTACAAAAATAACTTTTAACCAAATATTCTAAAAATTTGAAAGCATAACTACCGTAAAAACACTATTCCTATCATCTACAACCTAGTATGAAATTTCAGTCTTCTAAAACTTAAAAAAGAAAATCCAATAGAGAAAACTTGCAACCGCGTTAAATCAAAATGACATTTTAAATAGACCTACTTTAAAATTTCTTTGATAAAAAAATTTTTTTTTTTTGTTATCCTTATAAATTTTGCACACAAAAATTATCCTTTTTCAAGTTATTTACTTAAAATATTAAAAATTTAATAACGTCATACTGCAATAAATGACATAAATTTGTATGTATGTGCATAGAAATAAGTCTTATACACACGCAAGCATGTTAAAGGACTCGTTCTATGAACTAAGGAAACCCAAAATCCTTGTAGAAAAAGAAATTTTATATGAACTTTTTGTTGTACTTATTGCAAAAAACAAAATATTCAAAATTGTGATAGAAAAAAAAATATTAACAAACTCGAATGCATCAAGTCAATTTATTCAAATAATGTTGGTAATATACGCAGTCTGGGTAATTAATTCTAGGTTAATCATTACTATTTTGTTCATACTTTTAACTAGGTTGTAGGTCGGCAGATTTGCAACCTAATGCTATTTGCCAATCAATTAGTTGTTTGCTTTTCAATAATTTCTATTTGAAACAAGTTTAATTTTTTAAATTCGGAATCTGTGACATTTTGTATAGTAGAGATCATGGGTAAACAAATATGCAAGAGCATATTCAATAATTGCCGTTATATATTTCCTAGTACCAAGTCTAGGTCATAGCAGTATCGATTTTCAAAACTGGTTGTATAAAAACTCATGAAGTTTTTCAAGATATTTTCAAATTTGATTTTCCACTCAGGATCTTCTATAAATCTGAGGCCAAGCAAAACCGATTTCTAAAAATTTCTTTAAACTAAAGTTACACTAGAGTTCTCCAACATCTTTTCAACGGTATGCAACCATGCAGCATGGTCACATTTTTGTTAATTTTTACAAGGGCTTTCTTGATTGTGGTTTTTTTTACAATTTCTTTTAATATGCTTGAATTACTAGAAAATTTTCGAAATATCATTCGAATAATATTCGAAATTATTCCAAATTACCCACACCGCAAACCAGAATCTTATCTATTTCAATTATGACCAAATATTTTGAAACCTCACTATGTGTTCATAAGTTTTTTTGAAGAAGTTTAAATTAATAAAGCACAGTATGAATGCCATTATTCAATTATATTGCATGTTATAAGGATAAGGAAGTGCCAGAATAATGAAATTTTGTTTTTGTTCAATTTTTCTAAAAAAAAATTTTAAAATAAAATTAAAAGTGGTTTGTAAGTATTTTTTTTTCAAGAAACATAAATTTTATTTTATAGAAATGTTGGTTATTATTGACATATCATTAAGTCTATGTATGGTGGTCAAGAGTGCATGTGATTGTGATTAAATTTATAAAATTTTATTCAATTTTGTGCTTACGTCTTTTAATAATTTATTCACACAAACGTAATGTCAATATTTAATTTTGGGTTTTCTTTTGAATTTTGTAGTCAACAATATTGTGAATGGTAATAGTTTCACCTAAAAATATGCAATTTTTCAAAATTTTGTATAAAAATCAGATTTTGTTCTAAAGAACTTGTGGTTCAAGTTAAATAAACCTGTTTCGTAGCTAAAGAATAGAATCTTCATTTCATATCACCAATTGGGCTAAATTATAGTTAGAATAACAGCAAATATATCTAAGTCAGTACAGTCATGTCGTTATAATTTTCGATTTTCGAGAAAAAAAGTAAAGCTGCACATCCAGTTCTAATTATTATATAATCTCTAATCATTTTTACGAAGATGTGAAAATCAAAATGGCTCATAAAACCCAAATATCCTTTGATCAAACCAAAAACAACTTTTATCTATATTTCACACATGCATGTAAGTATCCTTGTAATCCAATATATATGCAAATTCAAAATTTATAAATTTGTTTTATCAGACAAATTCAAAACGAAATCCGTTTTTGGTTCACGGCTTTTTAAAATGGCATAATTGTTATATTACGAGTCCAAAAGAAAAAAAAATTTTTAATCAAGTCCACCTATTTATATAAAAGCAAAAAAAAAATATCAACACAGAAATCAGACACCCATAAAATTGCAAAAATCTTTGTCGTCACAAGTAAAAAAAAAAGGGAAAAATAAAATTAGACCGCGACCTGTGCCAAGGTTTCCTTTTAAAATAATCAATATTAATAATTTTAATTGCATTTTAAAAATATGCTTAGATTTTTAATTTGTCTGTCTGTTTGCTGAAAATTATCCAAATCAGTTAAAAATAATTAATTGCAGTGTCATTTTAATCGTTAAACAAAATGGGGACGAAACGAAGGACAGTTGAGTATTTTATTTTCTCACATGGAGAACTGGAGAACTGTTGATAATTATGGAGAATCGACTTTTTGTAGAAATTTGTTATGGCGAATTTATTAGCAAATCTTAAGTTTAAAAAGGAAATTCACCAGAAAGGTTTTATTCATTCGTTCACTAAAAATAATAAACTTTAAAAAAAAACACGTGGAATTATTTAAAATTGATTTAAATTTTATTGGCATTAAAGCTGCATTAAATGCTAATTGAGTTCTTCAGGAACCCACTCGAATAATATTTATTCAGATTCTAGTTTTAATACGTAATATTTGGATTGACCCTTGGCAATTCGTCTGCGAAAATAAATTGTTAAATTAAATTCATTTTTAGCACAAAATTTTTTCGCTTAATGTTCCTCCTAAATATATGCAACATTATTTCATTATATACGAAAAATCGATTGTCTCTAGTTGATTTAAATTTCCAAGATAAAATCTGCTGCTTTATACTAGCCATTAGTTTGTTTAACTTTCTTTTGAATGTAAATTTTATTAACTATCTTTGAATAATAAATAAGGTACTAATTTTAGGATAAAAGTACACGTTAAAACAAATTTTTAATTTTAAAGGTGACAATTTACTTTAAAAGTATTAAAAATATGTGGGCGAATAACATTAAAATTTTACTCTAATACAAAATTTAAGTTCAAAGTATAATCAACAATTGGTCACCAATAAGGTAAAATTGCTCTTAATAGAATTATTAACGTGGAATATTTCTAAAGGATTTTACAAAGTAAATGATCATAGGACAAAAATTATTTCAATGTCGTATGTTAAATCTTGGTCAAAAATATTTGTTGGAAAGACTGGTTCTCATGCAAGTACAATTGATTCAAAATACTTAACGCGAGAAACAAACAACAACGCGGAATAAACAGACGAAAAAATGGGTCCAAAAATATTCAGTACATTTTTTCACATTTTTTTTTTACAAAAATTTAGTAGTGAGGAACGATTATTTAAATGAAATTTTGTCTATAATCTCTTAAAATAGAATTTTACGTAGGATTTGGTAATTGCATATTTTTTTCATGTCCTTTTTGTTTGATACGCCATTCGTGGTATTACTCGTGAATAAATAATATTGCACAGGTACAAAAATATTTCAAAATTACTTTAATAAAAAATTTTTATACTCGTGTTACAATTTGAGTGAGATTTTAATAAATTACTTCACGACTTTTGAAAGGCATACATTTTGTTGTCACTGCATTTTTTCTCCAAATTCTTTTTGCAAATGCCGGAAAATAATTTTAGATATAAGAGTTAGAATTACAAAACTCAAAACGCGACAAGTAGAAAATGTTAAATTTTTAAGCAATTCAATAAAAACAAAGGATTAATTTTAAAGGACGTCATATTATGTGGTACATATGTGAGAATAGTTTTTCAGTCAAGGATAATAAAATGAAATTTTTCATTTCAAAATTTTCTTTTTTGGTTTGTTTTCATTGTTCTATTAAAACAGTCATAATTTTTTTTTCTTCTAGAAATTTTATTTCAAATCTAGTTAACCTAGAAAAGTTTTTGTTACAAGTTACTCTTTATGACAATGCCGACTCTAATTTCATTTTTAATGACATTTTCAATTGTAACGAAATGAAAATGAAAAATTAATAAGGAAAATGTCATGTAAAATGATTCCTAAAAATTAAATGAAAAATTTTCTCTCAAATTTAGTTTAAGTGGTTTTTGGAAAGCATTTCAAATCGAATATTGAATTTCTCTTATTGTTTTAGCAATTATAATGAAAATTTTGGAGGAAGCGGGGGAAGGGGGCGGTAATGCAATGCATGTAATATGAAATTTTCTCAATTGAAGTTGAAAAGTATCAGAACAATCTTTTTTTGTTTTTAAAATACACATAAGTGTTATAAAATGGTATTGAAGTCAAGGAATTTTAAAAATTTTGAAATTTTCAATTTCTAAACAGAAATGAATTACTCTTATAAAATTTTTTATATATGTACATATGTAGTTGTTCAGATGCAATTAAAGCAACTTAAGGTTATTGGTTTCATATTTAAAA